TTGCTGATCTCCTTGAGCATTGTGACGGTCTCGATGTCGTCAGTTTTCGATCCTGAATTGGACTCCACGAGAGTTCCCCAGAGGCCATCGCTATCACCCTCGAGCTTCTTTTTGATGCGGATAACACGTTCGTAAAATTTAGAGCCCTTCTCGTCGCAGGCCTTCGTGATGTTCTTAGGTACAACTGGCATGATTTTATCTACTCGCGGGCTTCGGGCGGAAGTCCGGGTCGAATCCAACGGCTGCCGAGACTCGTTCTCATTCACAACAAATTCGATAGTGGATGAGTCCCCAAGGCCTCGCCCTGCACAACCGTGGATGAGTAGCGACATGGACAAGGGCACCACCAACCGAGCAAAGGCACGATGCTGCTAGCTGTTTCTTGAGGGTTGAAATTCTTAATGACTGCATTTATGTATCCATCATTGGAACGAGCGCACTCGCTGCTCGTCACTCGCTGTTTAGAGAGCCTCAAGGACCTGCCAACTCTCATCATAAGCTTAGCTGAGGAACTTCCCGTGAAGAGGTGTACAGGTTTTTAACCTGCCCTTGCTTCTCCACCGCCTCCTCAAGTTTCTTAGATCTCCGAGCTTCTTCCGAAGGCCTCAACAAGGCGTCCGCCTGCTAGACTGAGTCATCCAAGTGCAAGTACTGTACCTGCCACTCACCATCTTGACCTCGGTGGAGAAGCGGCTGGTCGGCAGTCCAATGGGGAGGCGTCCTCCTAGCATCGAGGACCAATTCGGATGGACCCGGCATAGACCACAATCGCACCCGTCATAGTGCGAGAGTTCGACGACTTTGACCTCAACTCCTCCAGATGAATATGACACAGACCTGACCGATCGAGCTCGGTGTTGACAGGGTACCTGATCGGACCATACAGGACCCTCATAGAGGCTACTCACATGCATCCATGGTTGCCTTTACTCCCCATCACTGCCGTGCAATCCCCCACCGCACTCGCTATACCAACCTTGAGCACCTTATCTCGAGTGTCCACAGTCAATGCAACAGGGGCAGTCACTGCCATCTAAATAAGGAAACTTCAACTCCGCCAACGGCGCAAGCGGCCCATACTCCTGAAGCCGCTTTATCGTCTTCAGGAGTGAGCTCTGGGTTGAGGAAATACCACACATCTCCCCTCATCAGCTTCATCCCAGCGGCGCTATCTGTAAGGCGTACGCGAACGTAACTGACCAGGAGAGGTCATCCCCGTCTCGGTGGGCTTCCTCACGTCGGACTGTAAGGATGGAAGTCCGTCAGCCAAGCATCACAATACCTAGGAGAAACATAACACCACTCCGATGCAATACCCCCTCACTGTGCTGTCCTGGCGAGTTTCCCTCGCCCTAACGTACCACTACGAGTGGCCCCCACTTTGAATATCATACCAACGAAGACACGGTCCTGCTCCACCACCTTGGTCTTCACTTCGAACCTTACAACATCAGTCGAACTATCGTTACCCCTTCGT